TTGTTTATACTTTTTGGGCCTGAGGCTGTGATGATGACCTCGGTTTTCAGTCCTGGAAGGATTATTTTGTCTGACCAAACTGTGATGGGAGCTTACTAACATTCTATATGAAAGTTCAGAGTTAAACGCTAATCCAGTACAGGATCTGAAAAATACAAAATTAATATGTAAGGCATTGTTTGGATATTCCATTTTGACAAATTCAACATTTAATGGTGGTGTCAGCTGTGCCTTGCACATTCCCAATATTTGGATTGGTTTCTTTAGGTAGGTGCTTCAGCGAATTTGTCATGTTTAGGATAAATATGAATTTAAGTCTTGTCTGTGTTAGTGAGACAGGGAAAATGTCTATCTCTTGCTTCAGACAGTTTGCCTCCATTCACGTGGGAGACCAAGATTTCGTTTTGAGAGTGGTGCAAGAAAAGTTTTCAGTATTTTAAAGAATCAATTGTTTTTGAGTGGTAATTCAAACGTGTTTGATTAACTCAGCTTGAGCTCGGTGAAAATGTTGACTTTTTTTAGAGGAAAAAACAAGATACTTAAATGATGAATAGCAGTAGTTACCACTCCTAGTGTGAAGATTCTTGATTTAAATAGCTTGACCTTTTCTCTCAAGTACAGAGAAAAGTTGGTACTTGTAGTCTTTGAAATGTTCCTTGTTCTGAGATCAACCCTGTTTAGGAACAATAACTGCATGTGCAGAACTCTGCAGATGACAGGAAGGGGAGTGGCCTTTTCTGGTGCTGTACCGTCCTGCAGTGAAGCAATAGAAATTCTGTACAAGTTAAAAGTATTTATTGACTTGCTAAGCTGATCTGCTAGGTTTTTACACAAAGAAAAGTCTTTTTACTTCTTAAAAAGTCATTATTCTAGAATTTCAAAATGATGTCTGCATGCATCTTGCTACAAGTCTCACAGATAACTGCAGCTACAGTTGGGAGTGATGTCTGTGGATTGAGGCAGTAATTCTTTGTATTAACAACTCCTTGGTGCTGGGTGGTTTCATAGTGGCTGCTGGAACAAGAGTGTTATAGGCTTTGTCATTAACTTGGGCTGTCCAGGCCTGTGTAACAAACTATGTTATTAAGTGGTCCTGCAGTTTTGAAGATTGTTGAGGAATTCTTCCAGATGAGTGCATCTCTCAATATGCAATGTGTTACTAAACTTTATCTGTGGTATATTTAAAAAAGTGAACTCTGCTTTGTTTTCAGAATGTTTGGGCGCTTGATGCTCATTGAGGTTTCCCAAGTAAGCCAATAACATGTGGAAATCTATAGCCCCCAGAAAAGGTTTGTTCTTAAAAAACAAAAATGTTACTGGATCGTAGGACTCCTTCCATAGTCTTAATAAATTCTAGCAGTTGGATTTTCTTAGTAAACAGCACTCTCCTGACATGAGCCATGTTAAAATTGATGAACCTACCTGTGATGATTTGAGGTAGTTTTACAGTGATGAGCTTCCCTGTGGCTGTCTATTCTCAACTTAATTCTTCAGAAGCAGCTTCTGAAGAGGTATTGAGCCATTGGCAGCTGGAACATCTGTGCCTTATAGGTACTGTCTGCATTAATCATAAAGAAACCCAGTGGTCAGTGTTCTAAGATTCTGAAATTAAACCATTTAAATAGCAGCAGTGTGCTCTGTCACTTTTGTCAAAAGGTGATTCTGTCCTCCACTGCAAGTGAGGGTTGACACGAGATCCTGTCAGACATTTCACAGCAATCCTATGTTCACAAACATTACAGTAATCCTGTAAATAATCTGGGGTTTTGTGTCTTGATAAAGAATGAGTGTGAGTATTTAAAGTGGATAGGATGGTCTTAACAGGTCTTCTATTGTGTGTTACTTCAGTTTTCACTATAACTTTAAAATTTAAGTTGGTTGGCTTCATTTTTTCTTCTGTTACAGTTCTTCTTTGGCATTTAAGCCACTCACAGCCAGAAAGAATCTGTGCAAACTTCTGTTTGGAGTCATCACAGGTGTTCCCTGCAATATTTTTAACCTTTCTAAGTATACTTGGTTAACAAACCATTGCACTGGGCTGTACTCAGTATTGAGTCTGAAAAGCACCAGGTCTTGTGAAACCTTCTGGGTATTTTCCGTTCAGACCCGTGCTGCCTGATGAATACAATAGGTTTATTTTTTGCTGCCTTTCAGCAGTGCAGACATGTCGAAGTTGTTGTTCTGAAAGAGTCTATTTAAAAGCAGTTCTGACAACTTGTAATTTAAAATAAGCTTATATCAAGTTCATTTCTTTATATTTCTCAGGTGTGTGCACCAACTAACATTTCCCAGCTTTTTAATGACCAGGTGTTTTTTCCAATTCAATATCTGAGGAGAAGTGAGGAAACCGTGTCTTGGCTTTCTTGATGAAGTAAAACTTACAAATTATCTGATGGCTTAACTTGTTAATGTACCTCATGTGTTGCTCACTCTTGCTCATCCTCTTGCTGTGTGCAGAAAACTGGTTTACCTAAGTAATTTTTAATTTCATTTGTAGCTGGTCAATGAAGATAGTAGCTTTTCTTGAAGCAATTATTTTGAAAGAGAAGATATGTAAGGTTTAGGGATGGTTCTCTCCCTTGCCTCCCTCCCTTATCCCTTGTGCTCTGTCTCCTCCTTCCCCTCTCTCTTCCCCTGGTCTCCTAAAACCTCCAAATCCATGAATAACGATCATATTGAAGTAGGAGCTTGTATAGCACCTAGGAAATGTGCTCACAGAACAGTCTCGCTGTTTTTCTGGTTTTTCTTTGGTTGGGTTTTTGTATGATTGCAGCATTAGTCATGGTCTGGTTTTAAGAGTTCTTGTCTTCTATCCCAGAAACTCAGTAAAGTGATAAAATAGTATCTTCCCAAGAATGTTGATAAGGCTCACAGAGAAGCTTTCTTTCTGAACAAGTGAAATGAAATCTAGACCTTAAGAACAGTGGGATGAAGTGTTAAAAGAGAATTCTCATTACCTGGACACAAAATGTTATGGAAATGATTGCATGGGTGAGTCCTGCATTGAGGCAGCAAGAGCCTGAAGCCAGTCTGCCTTCTCTGGCAGCCTGAGTCTTCAACATCCCAGGTGACAACATGAGACTAGTTCTTATCTACCAGGAAAGCTGAACATGTCAGTTTAGATTTCTATAAAAAAAACGGGAGAGGGTGTTACACATAATAGTTCAAAAAATGAGATCTATTATGCCCATGGATTCACTAAGCATTAAGTCTATTGACTTTCATTTTGCCTTTTGTGCTGGTTTTAAAATGAAAAAATGTGAGAAAATTGATGAGTGGTGTATTGTGTTGCTTACAACTATACATAAATACAGCTTTGGGCTTCATAATAAGCATCAAATTGAGTGTAAGCATTTTTCTCAAGCTGTAATGTTTTTTTTAAATAATGTCACAGTTCGGTGTTAACAGGTCTCTTAAAAAAGTGATTTAGGAAATGGAGTGAGTTAAAGCAGAAAAAGATCAGTCTTTAATTGAAGGCTAGGATTGACTAGCAGTGCTGTTCCATCCCACTGTGTGTTCATGTTTCCCTATCTGGGAGTAGGCTACACAGTGTGTGCTGCTCTTTGTGGCAAAAATCAGTCAGCTCTGGAGACAGTTCAGCAGTTCTTGTTTAAAATAGTGCCCAGTTCTGGACAAATTTAGGAGGAAACGTCCTGAAAGGCTGTCTGCTCTGACAGGTTTGGTTTGAGCAACCCCTCCCCCACAGGTTCCCGCAGGTTCAAAAGGAATTCCTTTCTCCAAAGTGCAAAACCCCCTGTTTATTTAACAGTCAGATTGCTCACAGGCATGAAAAAAGGAGTGAATACTGTTCAATAATGAAACCTGTCACTGCTCTGCAGAGATGGCAGATCCAGAGTCCTTTCTGCAGGTGTGGCTCAGCAGTGGCGGGCCCTGGCTGATGTCCTAGTGCTTCGGACTGGAGAAAAACTGAACAGTTCCAGAAGAAGAAGCCACAGTCCCAGGAAAAAGCTTACTGCCTCAGCTCATGAAAAAGAGGCTAGCTAAAAAAACCCCAAGGAACAACTCTGTCTGTCTCTCTCTCTCTCTCTCTCTCTAGAGAAAGAAAGCTGGGAGAGACCCCCAGACGCTTAGCTCTGTTTTTGAACACAGGCACCACAATAATTCCACTACTTCCCTCCCCTCCTCAGCTCTAACTTGAAGCTGCAGGACTCTGCTCTATATCTGAGCACAGAGCAGACAACAGGGGTAGCAGAGTGTGCAGTCACCTCAAGACAGAGCTGTTCTGGTCCCTCTACCACACCCAGCCCCCCCCGCTGTGTGTTGGCCAGGTGGTAACTGTAGCACAGGCAGGCTCCGGGATGGGACCTTCACTGCCTGTCAGTCACTCAGAGCTGCCTTTATGCTTTTGAGCTCTCTCCCTTGGCAGGTAGCTGGGTGTGCACATGTGCAGGTAACACAGCAGCTACAGGGAGCTCAGATTGTCCTGCATGTTAGCCAAGATTTTGAAACTGAAATTTGTCTGCTTCACTTGCTTTAAATTCCTCTCAAGCTGTTCGGGTCCCAGCTGTTGGAATCTGGAGAGGGTCGGAGAAGAAAGCAGTTCATCTGGAGTTTATATTCTCTGAAGATGGCTGTTTATGACAAAATTCCACTGGTTCCTGCCCACAGACATTGCCTTGAGTATCAGTCAGTTGCTTTTCAGTTCCATGTCGTTGGCATTTGTTAATATTCTTCTAGGTTGCTGTCAAACTCACTTTTCCAGGTGTTTAGTTCACGGGTGAGAATGACTGAGGCTTCAGGCCCAGCTGCAGGTGTCTGAGGCTCACATGCTGAACTTGGGGACTTCCCTCCCCTCTGGCTTCGGGCAGAAACTGGTGGCTCAGTAATGGGAATCTGGGAGCAGGGGGGATTGGAGAGTACAAGCATTGCAGACAGGTAACCTTCTCTCTTCTCTTTGATAGGTTTGGAAAAGCATCATCCTCTAATCTTCAGAAACCTGGAGTTTTTATCAGTGAGCTACCTGAAGGAATCTAAGGGAATTATAGCTATAGCTTCCTTGCCATTACTTTTTTGGTGTTTGTACCTCTTCTTCAGTGGTTTTAGATCAAGAAGCACTATGAGCACAGTAAGTACTTTGCTACTCAGTCCAAACCTGATTCTTGAAACATGTTTTCCATTGTATTTCTGCAAACTATTTTAAGAGTTTCTAGCGAATACACAGGAACACAAGTATATTGAATCTTCGTGTACATTCAGATTTTTAATCACTCTAGGTGCTAGCAGTAGTACAGAAATGCTCACAATGTCAGCAAAACCCAATAAACTGTGAACTAGTTTCTCATTTGCAAACCATCATGATAGGCTTTTTCTTGGTGAGGCAGCTGGTAAGAGATCTGGATCTGGGCTGATATTTTTATCCTTGCTGGAATCGATTCAGGTAAGAATAAGCCATACCACCTATTGATGACTATTGCAGCCATTCCAGGAGTGTTTTCTGTACCTGTATGTGCTTTCATTGGTGTTGCAAAATTGAGGGCTATGTTAATACTGCTTGCACAGAAAATGCTAAGTCTTTGTTCTCTCTTAGACTCAACGGAAGCGCCGTGGAGGAACAGGTAATTCTAGGCAAGCTCGAAAAAGAAGCAGGCTCATGGCTTCCACTGCTGAAATGGCTTCAGAAGCAGAGCCAATAGAACTTGAAGAAAGTGGTAAGCTTTTTTTTGAAGTGATAAGAACAGAAAGTGCTTCTGCAGGGTTTGGGTACAGCTGAACATGTATTTTTGCCAGTTTCTAGGCTGTTTAGTGGAGAATAAGGGAAACATGATTTTAGGAAGTGCCTAGTGGCACACATGGCTAAATAACAAGTCTACTGAAAGGCATGGCATGGCTAAATAACAAGCCTACTGAAAACTGGTTTGGTTTGTTACTGAGCTACAATGCATTTGTCACTAGTGATAGATGAGTTGCACAGGAAAAGTCCTCAAGAGCTGCTCAAACATCTGCATGTCTATTTAGATAAGATGGGTGTTTCAGCAGCTTCCACTACACAGAGTGGCAAGCTAAATTTTGAAACTCCCAGGTCTGAAGAAGATAAGGAAAACTTTTTATTATTAATTGTGCCCAATCCCTCAAGGGAATGTGCACAGCACAGTGCTATTATATCCTGTATGATTCATGTTACATTTCTGTGTGATAAGCATTCTCCTGTCAGATGAGTTGTCTGTTGCTGTTGTCATCTGACAGAACTGTGTGAGAAGTTTAGCTGCTCTTTTGCATTTCAGCTTGCTGAAGACAGGGCTGGTAAAGCTGTCTGGGAGTTGCTGAGGGCAAAGCTTGAGTGAAATGTTGGACTCATTCCTGAAGAGAAGATGGACAGGAGATGGTTGAATCTTAGGCTGTTACATAGTGGCAGGCAACTTTCCTCCTCTGCAGTCTTTGACCTTGATTCTAACTTTGTTTTTCAGCTGGTGAAGAAGTAGTAGATCTCACATGTGAATCTTCTGATCCTGTAGTCGTTGATCTAACTCACAATGATTCCATTGTGGTAAGTAGTGAATAGCACACTTACCTAAATATTGTAGTCAAATTAGTTTTCTCATGTGTTGCCTGATAGAATCTGACTTTAAAGGGTAAGTTTTAAATTCAGATTTGGCTTTTCAGGGCCTGAAGGTCCTGTGTTACAGAGAATAAAGAAGCTGCTCTGGAGGTGTACTTGCAGTGATAGGGTAGTATAAACTAACTTTTTGCTCCAGAACCTGGAGTTTATATACATCAGTCATAAATAATGTAACCTAGAGATGCAGTTGATAGTTGAATTTTTTTTAGATATATCAAAGGTAGAATCATAGAATTGTTTGGGTTGGAAGGGACCTCTAACATCATCAAGTCCAACCATTCACTCAGCACCACCAGGTCCACAACTGGGCCTTATCTGTAAGCACCACATCTGTCTGTGTTGGAAATACCTCCGGGGTGATTTCAAGCCAATGCCACAGGGCTGACCTGGGCAGCCCCTTGCAGTGCTTGACAACTCTTGGTGAAGAGTTTTTTATAATACCCCCCCTAGGCCAATGATTTGAAGAAAAAGCCAAGAGAAAGAAGAGTGAGTAAAATAAGTTCAGGTTAATACTCCCAGAAGTCTTTAAAACACCTTAATTTTTTTTCTGCTCTTTTGAAAGCTAGAATAGTCTTTGATCGAGCTGGCAGTGTTGTTTATCCCCTCAGTTTTAGGATGCCACAGCTGCTGTGCCGAGCAGAAGCAAGCAACAGGAATAGCATAGGGAGTGTTTCTTGCTGGGGTTATTCCTGAGCCTTTGCAAAGGAAGGGCCTCAAACTTAACAACAGAATTTGCACTTACCCTGCTCCAGTTCCACCAAGAGCAGGCTGGGGGATGGGTTTCTTTTCTTCAGCAGCTGCCATAATATGGCATGTTTATGGACACCAGTGCTGAACTGGCCTGTTTGAGGAGAAAGAGGGAAAGCATCACCTGAAACTAAACCATGGAACTGAAAGGGGGGAGCAGGAAGGAGTGCATTCAGGTGGTTCCCAAGTTGCTTCTGTTGCTACCCCATTGGAGCAGTGGGAGCAGAACCATCAGCATCCACATAGTTGTTTACAGTGAAGCATTTAATATACTGCTTTTAATAGTCCTAATCAAAATAAGAGTAATAGCCTATCATTCTTGGCTTGTTTTGTTGGAACTGCTGTGCCTAGCTGGTCTTTGTATGTAAGACCAGGGGTGCGCAACAAAGTCTAATTGTATTTTCTTTTCTCTCCTCTCCCATATGTATTGATGCAAGATTGTTGAAGGTGAGTTGACATTTTAAAATTGATAATGGAATTCTCCTAAATGTAATAATTATTATTTTTTGTTTGCCTTTTTCAATTAATTTGAGCAGCATTTATTGAAACTGCAAAAGGTCAGCCAAGGACATTGCTAGAACATCTGGCCAGTGCCTTAGAGGATGAATCCAGTCTCTGCTTGATAGTCAGTATCAGAGCTTGTAGAAAGTATCTGAAATGAAATATATCAAAAGCTGCTCTAAATACTTTTTCTTATTTTCTAAAGACAGAATTTCTTTAAGCCCCAAGTTGACAATAAGTTTAATTAGAACTAGCATATTGGTTGTGAATGAAAAAAAAAAGTCAGATTTGTTTTAGCCTGTATTCCAGTAAAGGAACTAGAGAAGGTGATTTGTGCTCATAGTATGCACTAGTCTAACATGCCTCAAATTTTGCAGTGAGAAATATTAACTTTTTTTTCTACTTTAGATGTTAAAATAGTTACAGGTCTAAAGAAGTTCATCTTTTACATCTTTCAGATGTAGTCTAACTACATTATTGGAGATGCATTATGTGTTGTCAGCTACTTATCTAGAATGTAATCTGTCCTGTGCTCTGAATGAAGCAAGAGTAAGTGAAAAACGCCTGCAATAAAAGTTGTAACTGAGCACTTAGGCAGGAAGTGTTTTAATTTTGTGACTTTTTGTGTTGTCTTATTGTTTAGTAGCTTGATTATTTCTACATGGATACTGGAGTTGCAGAGATAAACTTGTGCTCAGTCCTCTCTCTTCCAGATCACAGCAGTTGTTGCAGTTCCTCAACATAGGATTGTAGCAGTTTCTGTCAGTAAGAATTGGGAGAAGTGTCTTCCCTTTATAGGGGAGACTAATTCACAGGTAGTGTAATTTCCTGGAATGTGTGACACTGAGGATCTTCAAGATTAAGTTTTAGCTGTTTGTAGGGTGAAGAGATCAAATGATTTGTGTCAGTATGTAGTAGAATATTCACAATGTCTTGACATGTTCAGCCTTAATATTTAGAAACTAGTTTAAGATTGCTTTTAATGCAGCTGAATATGGTCTAATCTTGCATTTCAGGGATAGTCTCAGGGAGGGAGATAATAGTATAGCTAACTTAACAAAACTAAATTACAGAGAACCAACGACAGAGGAGAAATCTGAGACTAAGAAGCCAGAGACAGGCAGACAGCTGTGTGCTGAGCAGTGATGATGAAGATGAAACCAGAGATAACGACGTGTACGTGGCTGATAAAGCAGCTCGAGAACTGGGACCACTGGAAGAGGAAACTGCAAGTTCAAAGTACGTACACCTCATGAGCTGCCAAACATGGAGTTGTGCTTCTTTTGAGGCAGACAGGACTGAGTTGTATTTGTCATCACCTGACTTCCTTTGAAGCCTTGGCTTTCTTAGTTCCCTCTTTTAATGAGTATGACATCCCATGTTGTACAATGGTCAGATGATACCGTTTTCACTTTAGGATGAAAAGCCAGCCCAAAACAGATCTACAGCTTTGTATTCAGCCTTAAAAAGATGAATGTGGGGTATGGCAAGGTCTGCTGGGGTAGATGTTAGTAGTGCTTCCTGCTTAGATTGAAGATAATGGGATAAAGACCATCTCATGCTTTCTATGCCTGTTTGATTAATAAATTACAAGCTGTGGTTCAGCATGGGCAGCGACATAAGAAAGCCAAATGTTTAGGTAAAGAGTTCTGAAGGTTTAAACTAGAGATTAGTTTGTAAAGAAAAGTGTCAGGAAGCTCTTTTTGTTTCTGCTAGCTGCTATTATTCAGCCCTTGGGCTGGGCCATGTTCCCTAGGCAGCCGGGCTGTGTCTGTTGCTGACTGTGTGTGCAGTACTGCTCTCCTGGAGGCTGAAGGCAGCAGAGGCTCGTCTGTAACCACAGCTCAGTAACAGACACTGAGTTGGTCTTTCCACCTTGGAACTGGAAATTTGAGTATTTCCTTGTGTCACTGTGTTCCTGACCTACATTTTATAAGGAGGAGTTCTTGAAGTGCCTATGTTACTGGGCTGTTGCTAAATTAGAGCAGGGGATTTTGGAACTTCTGACAGCCTGTTCCCTTTCTAGAATGACTCATTTCCAAGGCAGAGCTCGGTGCTTTTGTTACAGAGCTGTCACTGATGGCCTGTTGGAGATTAGTGCTGAACAGAGCAGAGAGACTGCTGTGAGTTCTTGTGCTAGACCAGGGTGACTTAGTGCATCTTCCCCCTGGGGAAAACCTTTCCTTCAGGACAGAGAGACCCAGTCTTGTTATTGCATGCCACAAACAGAGGAGTTAAAGGTACACAGGAGTCTTGAAAAGAAATGGACCATGGTGCACTCAGATGGTGCCGTGACATTTTGTGTGGGTAACCCTTGGTGTGCAGTGAAATTAATGGCTGCATGTTTTTTCTTCTTCTGTTCTCTGTACACAAGGCCGTCTGGTACTGTTAGCTGTCCAATTTGCATGGATGTCTACTCAGAGGTAAGGACCCACATGCTGTCATCCTTTATATGCTGTGTGAGGGAGAGAGGGGCACAGGGGGCTCATTTGGCTGCTGTGGGATGTTACAGAGAGCTGGCTTGAAGCACAGCTTGCCTTGAAGCTCCTAATAACTTATCAGTCTAAGTCACTACTTGTTAGTGGGGGTAGAGGGAGGAACCCTTGGCAGGATGGCACCGAAAGATCTTCAAGTTCCTTATTATTCTAAGAATAAAGGACAATTCCAGATATTCTAAATCATGTTTGTGTGATGGCAGTAGACCAGCAAAGTTGAATTCTTTACTTCTAATGCCTGTTGTGGTTTCTTTTTTTCCAGATTGTGCAAAGTGGACGACTGATTGTGTCAACAAAATGTGGCCATGTCTTCTGCAGTCAGTGCCTCCGTGATTCCCTTAGGAATGCCAACTCTTGCCCAACTTGCAGGAAGAAACTCACTCACAGACAGTATCATCCCATTTATATATGAGTACTTTTATTTCTCAGGACAGACTCAACTGGATTTTGGGGGAAATGTTATATTTTCAGTGCTCTGAAGATTTAAAGAGCAGCAGGTTGTGCACAAATCCAAATAAAACTGGTTTTTTTGGAGACCAACTTGAACATATCTAGACAGCTTTTTTATGGTCCAAATTGCTTCTTGTTATGTTCCTGGCTATCATGCTACATCAGTGACTGTCTAAACTAGATCATCAACCTAGACCAGGAAGGAAGCAGTTAATCCATTTCCTTCTACTTTTTTTAATGCTTAAATAAGGGAGTGTGAATATTTTGTTTTTTCTTACTCTGCTAATTATTCCTACCTTCACATACAGGTATGGAATAGTTTCCTTTCAGAACACAGATTAGCAATTCACCATTGCATTATGCTTTTTTTCATCCTGTAAGAAGCTCATGACTCTTGCTTTCTTGCATATCATCTTTGCCCTAGTAGAGTGAGTACTGCACTGAAGGGTGGTTTTTTCATAAATCAGTCTTAAATTGACAAGGTTTATGCAATAAAGTGACCTGCTGTTAATCAGCAGTCAAGTGTTTTGAGCAGCAGACATGAACATGCAAATGTTTTTATGAACTCCATGAGATCCCAGATACATAGACACACTGCAGCATGTACAATGTGAAAATAATTCTTTGATTGTTTCAGCTGCCAAGAATTCCTGCATTTTAATCCCAACACTGAATTTATTTTCTCACACAATGAGATGGTCTCTTGGGTTTACTTGTGCTGTAACACTGTCCTAATAATTATCAATAATACAGTCTTCTCTAGGCTTCCTAGTGATGAAAGTAAAGAAGCAAATTCATCTGTATGCTGAATACCAAAATATCTACAGATCTTCTTACTGTATCAGCTGTTCCCAGTGTAATGCTTTAAATTCAGTGTGTTCTCTTTGCTGTTCTCACTGGTTGTTACACTGACACCTGACTGGTTGTAGCCTGGTGAATAGCACTGAAAATTAAATTACTGTCCTGCCATTTTTGAGTGGAGGCTTTAAAAAGTATTTGGTAACAATGTTGACAGCCAGTTAGAGAAAAGTTAATTCTCCCTTTGCCCTGAGGGTTGTCCAGTTTTTTTGAAATGCAGTTTTAGAAAAGAAGTCAGATATATCTCCTAGAAAAGACAATTCCTCTAGTTGAGAAGGCAGGAATACACCAGTTTATGCACTCTTATCCAGTCACTTTTTCCCCAGGAGTGAGTTCTAAATGTCTATTTTAAACTTACAGCTAAAATGTCCGAACTGATCTCGAGTCCAGGGTGAGCTGATACAAACAGGTTGATGTGGGCAAGATTATTAAAATCAGGGGGTTGTGATCCACAGCTGTGGTAGGTGCATCCATGAGAACCTCCAGAATTAAACCTGGAGGTTCCTCCAGAATTAAACTTCTCTGGAGTTGGTTGCTTATAGAAACCATTCTAAGAACCATTCTGTGCCCTGGTGCAGCACAACTGAAGGGTGTGTTTAGTTAATGTTGGTATCACAGGTGTCACTGCTAACCTGTCCTTATCTGTAGGAAACCTTTAATTAAAGCAGCTCTTCTAAATTAGCTGTCTCAAGCTGCCTTGCAGCTCAAAGTAAAGTTGACTTTTTTTTTTTTTTTAATTAGGATGTTTCTGGATATAGAAATAGAGAGCTTTGTTACATAAAGGCTGCCTGAAGAAATGCAGCACCTTCACCCCCTGGTCTGGAGTGGCTTTGGTTCAGTGCTGTTAGCAGGAATATGCAGTTTCTGTGTTGTGGCAGTAGGGTGACTCCTACAAAGTTACACACAGGTGGTTGCTGTGTGCTCCCATGGGTAAGATAAACAAGCAAGGACTACAGCTGTCTCAGGATACTGCAGTGACACTGATGGCTGCAGTTGGGTCCCAAAAAGCAGAGTTGATGCTTAAAATATTAATTGTGTCAGGAGAAGCAGCCCAACATTAAAACTGTAGAGACCCGCAAGGGTCACAGAAGCTACTTTGTCCCAGTAGCTTAACAAAGAAAGAATAAATTATGGCTGGTTTTCCTGGGGTGGCTGCTGTGTGAAAGGAAGGATCAGAAGAGGATTTAAGGGATTACTACTGAGGATGAGGGTGAGTCAAGTCACTTAACCGTGCATCTTTCACAGTCTACTAGCCATGGCTTAAATAATTTTGCACAACTTCCTCCATGTAAATACCACTTTAGAGTTAGCGTCTCAATAAATAGATCTAATCAAAATTTAGATATCATAAACTATAACAAAGAGTTTTTAGCTTTTGTGTACCCTGTGAAGTGCCACAAATTTTGTGCATCTCAAAAAGGATATTATGTCTCAGCACATGGGAAAAAAATGGAAATTCATTGCGTGCTTTTTTCTTCAGAGGAAAAAAAAGTCTGATATATTTCAGTTCCAGCAATATTTCACATTGGCAAGAACTCATAGAAAATGAAAAAAATCTTTATGTTAAGTAGATGTCTGTCTTGTTGTATATAGTTCAATTTTTCCTGTATTTAATTGTATTCAAGTCTGTCTGCCCATCTATGTTGAACTCTGCTGGTAGGCAGAGGGTTCTCTTAACAGGTGAAAATAAAATGATTGGATTGATAAATCACAAGTGCTTTTTTTCATTGTGCTGGAGTCACTGATCTGGGGGGAAATAATCCTGAAGGCCAAAGCCTTTGAGATGCAGGGGCCAGTGTGGGTTGTGCAGGGCAAAGGAGAAAGGCACCATCTGGGGCAGGGGGGATGTGGGGACAAGAGGCTGATGTCCTGCTCAGGATGGGGACAATGGGGCAGTGCAGAGGTGGCTTTGTGAGTGGCGGGAGCCTGACAGCCAGGGCCAGAGAGAGCAGTGAGGAGGCTGGGAGGGTGCTGGGCCACCTCCCTGGGGCTCCCATTGCTGCCTGGGTGTGAAGCAGCCACTGGAGAGAATGCTGAGGAGAGAACTGAACTGCAGTTCTCTTTGAACTACAGGGTAGTTTCAAAGTCCCAATAAAGCTCACTTGATTTTTTTTTTCTTCAAAGAAACTAGAGATGCTGTTTCCTAAAGGTCTTGGCTTATTCCTCTTAGTTGCTTTTATTGTGTTTTGTTCTTTTTTACTATTTATATTGTACACATATGGAGTAGTTGCCTTTCCAAATGCTGATGAGTAATTTGCTATTTCATTACACTTTTGTTTTTATCCTAAAATAAGCTTATAACTTTTTTGCTTTATGCTGTACTATCTTTGCCTTATTACACCACATTCTGTAATAATGGATCTTTTTTTATAAGTCAGGATTAAAGTGGCAACCTCCATCATGCAATATGTCACCTGCTGTTCAGCAGCTGTCAGATGTTTTACACAGAGGGCTGTGTGGACAGGAAGATTGTTTGTTGTTATGGGGAGTCCTTGCTGCTTCAGTTAAGCCCTTGATCTGCTTCTGGTGGAACATTGGACCCATCAGATGTGCTCTCTGATTTGCAGCCAGATTTGGCACTTTGGGTGGATGAAGCATGCAGCAACTGCAGAAAGCTGTTCTCACTTGGGGTTTGATCCTGTATCACAGTTTTGGAAAGCAGAAGGGGTGGATATGAAACAAACCAGAGAAAACCAGGTCCAGGGCATACCAGCCCTGGTCTAAGGATCTGGGTATGAACCATGGTGCAGTGGCTGGGCTGAACATGGGATCTGGGTAATGTTTGCAGTGCTGCAGTGTCTGAACTGAAGGCTCAGATTGGGTGGATGGTCCTGGGGGCTGGAGAGGAAACCATGGCTATGGACTGGGGACCAGGGCAGGAACATCACTCACTAGAAATTGGAACTACAGAGGGAAGTGTACAGATGTGTTTGCAGCTTTTTGTGTGTGAGCAGACGGTTGGCAAAGGGGAGTTGCCAAGGGTAAGTGTTGGTGTATGGCAGGTGAAAGAGATCAGCAGGGCCAGAGCTGCATTCTGGTTGCAGAGCTCAAACCTCCATTTGCCTGGATTGGGATGGTGACACAGGTCTGGGGCTATGCTGACAGGTGACGTGATGCTGTCTATGAAGTTTTGTCAACTGTAGAGATGTGTCCTTGCATTGTGTCTGCTCTACACTTGCTGGCAGTGTGTGGAGGGATGGAGTGTTAGAAAATAAAGATAGTGCAGAAGGTAGTCTCACACCTGAGGAGTTGCAGCTGTACTCATCACCAAAGATTAGGAACAGGCTGCCCTTAACAGGCCACAGCTGTGTCCAATAAGGAGACGAGTGCTACAAAAGAGTGGGTTAGCTGGGTCATGAGAGAGATGGAGTCTGTTGGCTGTGCTGTGAAGGAGTCAGTGCTGTGAGGAACTGCACATGAGAAATCACTAAGAAGGTATGGGAGCTTTGCAATAAGGTGACAACAGCAGTGAATGCTAATTTTACATGTTCTGTAAAAATCTATTCTCTAGGTCAAGAGCATGCAGTTGAGCCCCTGAGCTTCTGAGGATGGTTTTACCTCCAACTACTTTGTCTTTTTTGTCAGTGTTGCCTGATGATGTAAAATCCAGCTTGGTTGTTTGTGTTTCATCAAAAGACCAAATTCATTGTAGTTTCTAGAGTTGACTTAGGGCCTGTGAACAATGAGATGCTTTACAGCTGCTTCATATTATTTCTGTAATCCTAAATCCTCCTACAGTTTTTCTTTGAGAGTTCTGGGAAGGTAAAAGGAACAGGAATGTCTGGTCTGGGGTTTCTCTCCCACCACTGCCACCACCACCACCCAATGAGGTTTCTATATCCAGCACACAAAAAATTAGGTTGCTCAAGAACTGTTTTATTCCTTTTCACCCTTTTTCTCTCAATGCCCTTGTGCCTCACGGTTGGCACCAAAATCTGTCTTGGTTTGAAAGACAGGTGTCTGCTAAGGAAGGCAAGAGCCTCCCATGGAATGGAAATTGTAAACCCCCTCCTTCTGAATTGGCCGCTTTTTGTGTTTTTCTTCAGCACCCAGTTGTTAGTGTTTCCTAGGAAGTTATGGGGAAAAATAATTCTAGAAGTAAAAAGGAACAAAAGGAAAGAAACCTAATCCCCAGCATCAGAGGAGAGCATTGCCATCTCTGTTGAGGAGAGCTGTTGGTGCTGTGTCCAAATGCAGCCCAAGACTCCATGTGTCCCTTCAGAGAGGGGTCCCAGCCATGGCAGTGGTGCAGGATGGATGCAGAGGTGATGTGAGAAGTACTGGGTTTGTTAGGAAGGAGATGGAGGTCTCAAAGACCATTTCAAAAATATTTTGATTGCTTGCCCCATCTTTCACTCAGTAAAGCCCTTGATTACACCAGCCATGTAAACATGAAGCCTCACTTCCCCCTAGTAACTGCTACACACAGATTGTAGATTCAGACTTTGCATATTTTTATTTTCCGTAGTAGATGTTACCCTGAGGTTTTAGGTAAGCATTTAAACGCAGATACATTAGGAATGGAGAACTGCTTCTTTCTAATCCTGTTTTCTCTCTCATATTTAATGAAGAAGATATTAGCATTAAAAGTCTTACACAGAAAAACAACGGGTTATGATATTGACGTAATGCAGAGGTTACAAAGGTCAAGGGATTAATGGTCATAGAGGTCTGTCTAAATGAGCATTTGCAGGTGTCAGTTTTAAACACATTCTAATTCTTTATGGGGGAACTTTTTCACAGAGAGTACACCAAATGTGTTCATACATAGTAAGGGATTCTTGCTTCCTGGGGAAAGAGAAGGGCTTCTGCTTTCTCTAGCAGTAGTTCATCCCACTTAGTGCCTTATGGGATGAGATAGATAGAGCAGCATTATTTTTTTATGTAAACTTCTGTGTAGCTCTTTTTGCACATCTTGACTTGCTGCATGATCACAAGTGGGCAATTCATAATTAGTGTGATTAAAAGCACATATATTGCAGTGAAAAGGAACACAAAAGTTAGTCATTAAAACTCTGCTGCAAGGAGATGGTGTGCTATCTCTTCTTTCCTTTGCCAAAAATTCCTCCGCAAGTCTAATTTCAAGCCTTGCTTAGCAGAGGAAGGGTATGAAACTGTGGCTATTTCAATGACCAGTATCACAACACCATTTCCCCAAATCATTTATTAGTTGCCACAAAGATTGAAGTGTATTTCTAACTAATTCAAAAATCAAAATTTTAGATATGGATCATGCATATATTTGTGCCTTCCTTTTTGCTGGAGTGCAGACAAATGAATTTTAAAAATAGCCTGGGGTGAAGGTTTAAGTCATTCGTTTTACAAGGCTCTTTAAAAGCTTCTTTCCTAACCTGCCAAATTATAGGATGGCTATAATTTGTTTAAGTCTTTCAACATTTAGGGAAGTGCCTGCTGCATATTGAAGCATTAACTCGCCTTAGCTGAGCAAATTGAGCACGGGGCTGCAGGAGCAGCCGGGGCTCTGCTGGGAA